AAGTAAATGAACCGGTATCACACACAGTGATATGGGGATTAAAGATACACTCGCTCCAGTGAAACAATTTTCAGAAGGAGAGGATTTCTGCATGTGAGGACTGGGATAATAGTGTGGATTCCCACTAGGGGAGAGAAGGCCTGTCCAAGAATGTTTACCTTAAAGACTGAATCACAGGCAGGACAGCAGCTGTCCAAAACAGACAACACCTTTTCTCTGACACCTTGTGTTCTGTTTTATTAGAAATTGTCTGAATCATCTCGTGTGATGCCGTACGAATGAAATATCATTCAGCTAAAACAGAATATTTCAGAAGGCAAACATCTGCTTTATAAACATATTCATACTCTGCACAAGATTCCCCTTTTCATCCAGAAGAAAACTGTCTCAGTCCATCAGCTATCTAAACATACATTATCTGAATTACTATTAAAAAGGAAGAGTTAAAAGCAGGTTTTTTATGTGAGCTAACCAGGGCACGGGGCCATGAAGGAGTCATGCGTGCACTCAGATATTGCGACAGCAAGTCAAGATGCATAAAAAGAACCATGTGAGCACTGTTTAGCACGCACCCTGCAGCTGAAAACTATGATAATTACACTCCAGTTCAAACAGGTGGGATTTTATGTTGTCCCATCTCCAGGAGAGGTATTAGAGTCAACACACATAAATATTGTAGTCGGACAGTGGATTAGAGGGAGCTACATTAATCATCTGTTCTTACAAAGACTTGGAAAAAGGCCTGTGCTCTGTGAAAGCTGGCTCCACTCACACTGAGAAAAAGTAAACAAAAGGTCCCCGTCTCCCTCGTGTACTGGCACTGCAAAATAAATAAATAAGTAAATATAGATATATGCGGTTTAGTTATGTCCTCTCCCAGCAAACACAATAATTAAATATAAACCTACACAGCCAAACATTACAGGCTTCACTCTACAACCAGACCTACCTCTGTCACAGATCACAATGCTTTGGACTATAAGGGGCACGTCAAGACAAATATATATTTTTTTGTGTTGGAAAAATCTTCCCGGTGCAGCAGGTGATGCCCTTGTCACAGCGCATCGCCACGGCTGAGTACATGTAGCGGAAACGCTGTGGCAGTTTATTCTGGGAAACTGCTGTCGCCTCCTATTTCAGGTTTGTTACCATTTTGGGGGAAAAAAAGTTTCTGATGTTAACGAAAGACGCTGCTGTGTTTTTGAGGCATGCAGGAGAACCAAATCCTGTTTGTATTGTGATTCCTTGTGTAATGAAAATGAAATGTAAAGCTACATTATGAAGTGGGTTCAGCGATTTTTATATAAATGTATCATCATCGCCTAGAAATTCAGTAGAGGTTTAAGTAGTACGTGGAAGAAAGAGTTGCATCATAGAAATATATGAAACCCCCTCCTTCAGTAAGTGCAGTTTTTAATGTGGATCCTGCTACCACTATGTGAGAAGCACTTTTCTATTAGCTGAAATACTCTCTGAGCACTTTTATGAAAGTATGAATAAAGAAGAAAGGCAGGCTTCTTCCCAAATTCTGTATTATGGCAGAGAGCATATTTTTAGAGGAAAGTGACAGCTTAGGGGTTTGCACGCTACACTGGTTCCATCAAAAAGAATAACCTTTTGAAATTTACAACAAGGACAAACCTTCCGTAAAAACCTGTATCATTGTGGAGACCAAATAAGCTCAACTAGAGTCTGAGATATTAATTCCTGTCAAGCAAGAATGACAGAAAATCCGGCGGGTCTGATAGTGTCTTTTAAGTGCCGGATTATGTTGTCCTATTCCTCCCCACCTCGCGTTGTTTATATGCACACTGCGGCAAGATTGTATCTAGACTAATGTATGCAGAATCCTGATCACAGCCTCACCACTTTTCCGAATCAGGGTGGGGGAAATCCAACCTGTCAGTTTATTATCACAAAAAAATTGGCTGCAGTTGTTTTGACAAATATGCAAATTCTATCTAATAAGTTAGTGAGACAAATGAGGTACCTCTGACAGTAAGAATAGAGCTCTGAATAAACATTTGAGTTCCTGTCGAGGTCTGAGTTATATTGGATCAACCTGTCAACAACAGCAGTGTTGTATATGCCTTGATATACACTGTAGCGGCCTAATGGGAGAGAAAAACGGGATAATAAAGCCATAATGGTGAAAATCGCACTGTGGCTCTCATTCTAATGAGCCAGCTCATAAGTCATCACCAATGTGCAGACCCTAGCAACATGACCTTTATATTTTTAGTTTGTTTAATATAGACTTCTGAATTTATAACAGCATATTAGCCACTGCATGCTTCATATTCAAGATGCAGTCACAATATCACTCCAAAAAAAAACTTTAAAGAGGCAGTTTAGCTAACGGCCCTGTAGCAGTGACTGCTCAGTAGCTCAGTATGTATCTGCATGCTTGTGTTTCTCTGTGTGTATGTGTGCGCCTGTACATCACAGAGACTTCAGAGGAGAGTACATGATCTTGCATGCTGGTATGCACACCTACACACACCTTCTGACATACACTGTATGAGCCCCCCACAGATCAAGTAAAAAAGAAATCCAGATAACAAAGCTAGTAACACCTGCTCTAATCCAAACTTAATGACAGTCGATGTGAAGCAAGGTGCACACGCAGAGGTTCACACTATCATACACACACGCATACACAAGACACATCCTAAGCTCTAGTTAACACAGGGTGGCAACAACAAGGAGGTCTGCCTGAGGTCTCCCAGCTAAGGAGGCAGAATGAGCTCACACACCGAGCAGCCGTGTACACAACATCTAACAGTGTTAAAAGCCATTAGAAATCACAGTGTTTAACACTGCTGTCATCTCTGCTTCCTTTCTCTCCTCTTCCCCTCTCATTACTACATTAAAAAGAGTTATGTAAGGCTGCCGAACAGTCAGCCACAAAGCCAACCGAGTTATGCAAGTTCCTGGACCTTGATCTCCTCGCAATCGTCACACATCCACAGTTACACACACCTGCGCAGGGCACTAGGTGGGAGCTTCCCCGGGCTCCTGTCTGATGCTGTACTGTAGCAGCTGCTCTGGGCTTCTGGTAGCTCTCCCTTCTCCCGCAACATGAAGGTGGCTGCAGAGGAAATGATGCCCACCCCATCCCGCACCCGTGTCTCGAGCGGGTACTCCCAGTCATCATAGGACACAGAGATCATACCCAGGGGGAAGACCTGAGAGGGGGATGAGAGGACATCTAAGAAACGACACATATGGTTTGTAAGCTTCAAGTTTAGTTTAATTTGACATTTTTACCCCAGATTTGAAACATCCATATGCATTTCTCAAAGGTGTCAGGCGGATGATTTATTGGTTCTGTCTGTCCTCCGGAAATAATTCATAGCTGGCTACTAGATGCGTGTGAACAGACTGTATGTCTATAAACTGAATTACTCATTCAGGTATCGCCTACATCTTGCAGCTGTCATTGAAAAAAAAAACTGTATAGCTCAAACTTTATCTCTCTGAAGCAGACTGAGCAAACATCAGAAAAAAAAAATGCAGGCACAGCAATCTGTCTGTCTACCCTACAGTACTTTGTTTTTACATTTTACTTTGGCTTTAGTTGTAGAGTCAGATCCATGACTGAGAAAGAAATCAGAGGCGGAAACCCAACACAAACAGGAAGACTCGAGCCAGAGATGGAGAAGAATTAGGAGAATAAACATTTGAAAGGCTTTTGAGAAGTGAGTATTTTATGCCTTTGGGACTGATCATATGTTGTTACGTACAAAGTTGTGTAAAAGATGACTTTTTGCTGGATTATCTGTAAATTAGTATGCTCTGACATGAACTGTATTAGCGGTCAACATGATTTGTCTTTGAAGCATCTTTTAATATGTAATACATGGATTAAAGATAAAGTTTCACAAATTCTGGGAATTCTGCACAGACACACAACGTCACTTGTCTATGTAATCGCATCTGCCTGCCAGCCCCTCTTAACCCTACTAATTAAGAATTTCTGTCTTGCTTGTCTGATCTACGGACAAACAAAAACAGGTAGAAACACAATATTGCAACCAGGGTTCAACTGCCAGAGTAATTGTTTTGGCTGGAAGCTCTGATTTCCTGGAATCTTGCTGTCGTGAGGTTATAAAGAGTTTAACAGCGTTCAAGAGTCGAAACCAGCCAGCCCATCATAAAACATCTATCACAATTACATTTGATATTTTAATCTGTAATCTTCATATA